ATCAAATTTAAGCTGAGTAACCGACTTTAAAGTTATGTTTAAGCTGAGTAGGGATAGATCAAAAGTTAGTGCCCTCAAGTGAGAGAATTTTATGCTCTACAAAAAAGGTAACCACACCTTTTTTGAGTGTAGTTTTCCTGTAAAATGCCAAAAACTCAAAATATGCAGCTTTAGGAGTGGCTCCCCTTCTAAAAATGTTTGTTTTGGTCCAATATACAATTGTGCAAAGTGGCTTGCTTTAATCATCAAACGCCCCATAATTTTATGTAGGGCTAGGACGAAAATAATGATTATTGCAGGAGACTTTTGTGCTTGGGGAGCGGGAGGGGGAGTAAACTTAGCCTATACAGTTTTAAGATTGAACCACTAATAGTCCAGGCGAATTAACCATTTTTAGGCATAAAAAAAGAACAGTGTTAATAGAGCTTTGACAAGTGCATATGTTAAAATGTTGTATAACAAATACAAACAAAATAAATACGTGAGCAGAATTAATTTTTTGGTGCGGGTGAAAAGGGGTGAAAATCGGATGACGGCAATTTCCAGCAGAAGTTACGATCAGAGACAAAAGTGTTGTTTGTATGTATTAGGGACATGGTGTTGCCACCTACTATAAGGTAAAGCAACAACGAATAAATAAATGAAAATAAATAAATGAAAAATGGAAATGTTGTAGATCGTGAAAAACTCGGGGTCCGTGAAGTAAGCTGACCATGAAAAGCACAAACGACGGGTTTAATTGCAATCGTTTGTGCTTCGTTTGTGCTCGTTTGTGCCGTATAACAAAAGTCAGCAAAACCAACCATACACACAATTTTTTAACAATTGTGTCCTTAATCTTGAGTATTTTAATTAAATTTCAATGTGTATATCTGTCAGTTTGAGTAACCATCCATCTTCAATAAATACTCCACCTTCCACTGTCAACATTGTTGCATTATTAAGGATAATAATAAAAATAATAATAATAATAATTTATTTCCAACAGCAAAGCCTATTACAGGAAATTTCAAAGGATAAACAAAATGAAAATACAAACTTATAATCCTCAGCCTCCTCAGCTTTATAGTTTTTTATTGTTGTCCGTGGTGTACGGGTACTTTGGACATTAAGGATGGACGCTATTGATTTTCTTAAAGCTGGTTCAACAGGAACAACAGTTATCGGACTTCGAGTGAAGCGGAAACAGGAAAAACTGCGGGTTCAATATAATAGAAATCAACATACTTCATTCCCTAGGTTATACTTATATCGAGTTCGGACTTTCCCTATGCCTCTTAGAAGTGTAATAATTCAATATTAGAACAAAATGTACCCAAAATTATTCTTTACACATGAATTTGGAGTTGTAAAAGCTTTCAAACGCATTATCTTGGTGCTGAAAGAGTACATCACGTGCACATTTGATAACCGCATGTGTGTGATTCAAAGATGTTAAATTATTTTTCTGATGCCACATGGATTTTGATCAAAACATGTCAAAATCGTTATTCTTGCACTGAGATCGATGGGAAAAAGTCCAACAGCATGATGCATCGTCTCAATGGCCAACACATGAATTTGATGCAAAAATTCTGAAATTTAATTTTTATTTTTGCAATTCCATTCTAGTTGACTCGTCGATTCTAGTCGACGCCAGCTTTTACAGTTTTTCTTCTCACCACTAAACTTGCATGGTATTCGTTCAGAAGTTTTGAAATAAGTAGTGCGATAACGTTCATTCTTATATTTCAATATTATTAGATCGGTAATTATTTTCTTAATAGTGTTATCATTGTGATCATCATAATCACGCTACCTCGTTTTATTATACGTAATATAATATGATAACATTTATTTAATAATAAAGATTTTAAAATCAACGTGTACATCTTGTAGGTATGTATATCTACTACACAAAAAAAATAACCTGAGAGTCGGAAACGTTTCGTTAGGGTCCCTATACTCTATTCGAATTAATTTTTTTTTTCAAATTCCGCCTTCTAGTTTTGTATAATTTAATAGCCCTTGAACAAATTTGAAAATAAAAAAGTAATTGAATATAACTTCAACCTAATTAATAACCGCTGTTTAATATACAATAAGGCGGACCTTTAAAAACTTTTTTTTTATTAAAGAGATCAAAAAAATAAAAAATACTGTTTCTTTAAATATCAAATGGCTGATTTTTAAAGTAACCCACCAGGCCAACAACCCCCTTATGCACAACCCATACTGACCTAAGAATCTGACAAAACAATACTCAATTTCTGATCGTCTTTGGAAAGGTTATTACACATCTTGGAAAACGTACAATGCCTGAGTATTATTTTTTTTAACTAAGAAAGATATCAAATGAACTGATAAATGTGGTTGTTGTAAAGGCTACGGAGAATCCTAATAACGTTTTTTTAAATAATTTTAATTGTTTGTTCCACACTCTAAGCTATTTTGAAAAATAAAGAAACGTGTAAACAAATATAGAAAACGAGGTCCTGGGTATGACTAGGTATAGTATGTGCAAAACCAAATTTGGAAACTGGCGCTACATTTGCTTTTATTCCAAGTGGCTATGTATCAAATTTCATTTAAATACCTCCATAAATAAGAAAGTTTGCAATTCGGTTTGTAAATGGTCGAGATGCGCAAAGGGCACTGTGAATGCTGATCGATTAGGCTCAACTTTTGGAATTGCGTTTTATATGGCTAAAGCCATGCGCATATTGAATTTCATGCAAGTCTTCTTTATTTTTTTTACCTACATTGACAATTCACGAACTCCGATTCTACAAATTTGTTATTGAGGAAATCGAAAGTGTACTTTTGTACTTTTCGTAAGCGCCACCTTAAGTCGGAAATCGTTAACATCTTTTCTTTATAAAGTTTTCCATATTTTTTTGAATTTATTTCTTTATTATAGGAGTGTAGTGTAGGTAATAAGAAATCAAACTTGGCGTTATGCTTATATTTTCTAAAGCTACCGATTTCGGCCTATGGCCATCATCAGGGTGTGGTAAAATGTTTTATAGATTTATAATATAAGTACCGTCAAATAGTTAAAGCTAATAAGTTGAAACAATAGTGGTAAAATTTTGGCATATCTAATGTAGTAAAAGTCTGAAATGAAAAGATTAAGATATATGACTAGCAGTAAATTGTGACTATATATTAAATAAGTTTAAAAATTTAAACAATTTTTTTCTATTTCGGTGTCACAATGATGATTTTGTACAACTGTTTTCGGCCGAAAACAGTTGTACAAAGACAGTGATTATAGTCGTTTTTTTTTGGTAACTCATCTCTTAAGTTGGCAGTTACTAGTTAGTACAAGTAGGTACTTCGTTGGGTACTTCCATGTTTGAACTTCAAAATGTCAGTCTTACTACGCTGCCAACCTAAAACTTAACGGCATAAAAAGTGTTCCCAACATAAAACATGTTCTAATGTTCCCTATAGTTTCTGATAATGATCTTTTTAATTAAATTAAAGCACCGAAATAGAAAAAATAGTATGAAAAACGCGTGTTACAATGCTTTATTGTAATACTCCTATCTTGCGGACACTCGTGGCTACGCTTCGCGTCGCCACTCGTGCCACAAGAAAGTCGTATTACAATAGGTCGCATTGTAAAACTTGTCTTTCAATATA